TATTCATTAGGGATCACATAATGTTTTCAAAACAGACATCTTATTTCACAGCTTATAGCTTACTGTTCGGTGTGAGACAAGGCTCCGTGTTGAAGACCGTACTGTGACCTATAATGGTTTACTTTTATAAATTTTGACTTGGATGGAGAGTTGTCTCATTGGCACTCATACCACATCTTCTTATATCTATCTTATTTCACAGGGATTCAGTCTTAAAATTATATCTTAAGAAGGTTAAATTCATTAAGTGAACTGAAAAACCAAAATTGTCAAAAAGTAAATAGGATCAGTGATATTAAATCATGGGCAATCATAATGAACACTTGATTGATGAAGTTTTTATTCAAGCTTTTTTATCATAAATAATCTTCATAGACAAAATTTGTATTCAGCAAGTAATCATATAAATTAAAAATGAGAATGGAAATTGGGAATGTGCGAAAGAGAAAACAACCCGACCAAAGAGCAGAAATCAGCCGAAGGCCACCAATGGGTCTTCAACACAGCGAGAAAATTTCGCACCCGGAGGCTGGCCCCTAAACAAAAATGTGTACAAGTTCAGTGAAAATCGACGTTACACTAAAGTCCAAAACATATAAATTTCTCACTGCATTGAAGACCCATTGGTAGCCTTCGGCTGTTGTCTGCTCTATGGTCGGGTTGTTGTCTCTTTGACACATTCCTCATTTCCATTCTCAATTTTAAAAATAAAAATAAATACAAGACTAACAAAGGCCAGAGGCCCCTGACTTGGGACAGGCGCAAAATGCGGCGGTGTTAAACATGTTTTGTGAGATCTCAACCCTCTCCTATACCTCCAGCCAATGTTGAATAGACAAACACACAGTAATACGCACAGTAAAACACAGTTTAAAAGACTTTTATATGCATGTAATCTAAAAGTAATCTACAAGTAATCATGATTCCACCTGTTTTTGCACTGCAATTGATTAAATTAAGATTAATTATAATCAGAAATAGCATCATTACTGATTACATGTGATTTAATTGCAAAATGAAGTCGATTACAGCGGACTACGATATCTGGTTACGATTACCCATGCCTGGTCATAATGGCTTTTTTTCTTTTTTTGCTTGATGGCTTCCTACAATCAGAGACACATAATTAAATGACTCTGCTACAACGTCACTACGCAGAAGCTATTTTTTCAGCTGGTTTTTGAGAGCAAATTTCGCTTTCAACTTTATACATTGTACCTTGATAATCTGTACCATTGTACATTTTGTCAAACATAAGCCATAATAGAAAAACAAAGGATATGAGGTATCCAGTTACGACACAAAAATCAGTAAACACACAGCAAAATAAGATAAAGAGAAGGAACTGCGCTTTAAATGCTGTTTTTTACAATCGTGTACAGCAGAATTGCTGTTTAGATTTCCATTGAAAACAATTAGTTTTACTATCGTGTGCAGTATAATTGTGTCCGCCGTTCCGATTGCCAGTCAAAACAATTGTTTTTACTATCGTGTACAGCAGAATTGATTCCGTCGTTCTGATTGCCATTCAAAACATTGTTTGTACTATCTCGTACTGCACAATTGTGTCCGTCGTTCCGGTTTCCATTCAAAACAATTGTTTTTACTATAGTGTACAGCAGAATTGTGTCTGTCGTACTGATTGCCATTTAAAACATTGTGTGTACTATTTTGTACTGCACAGTTGTTTCTGTTGTTCCGATTTCCATTGAAAACTATTGTTTTTACTATCTTGTACATCAGAATTGATTCCGTCATCCCAATTGCATTTCAAAACAATTATTTTTACTATCGTGTACAGCAGAATTGTGTCTGTCGTTTAGATTTCCATTTAAAACAATTGTTTTACTATCGTATACAGTATAATATTGTCAGATGTTTCGATTGCCATTCAAAACAATTGTTTAGACTATCGTGTACAGCATTGTGTCTGCTGTTCCAATTGCCATTCAAAAGAATTATTTTTAATATCGTGTACATCAGAATTGTTTCTGTCGTTCCGATTGCTACTGAAACAGTTGTTTTTACTATCGTGTACAGCAGAACTGTTTCCGTCGTTCCGATTTCCAATCAAAACAAGTGTTTTTATTATCGTGTATAGTATAATTGTGTCTGTTGTTCTAATTGCCATTCAAAACAAATGAGTTTACTATCGTGTACAGCAAAATTGTGTCTGCTGTTCCGATTGCCATTAAAACAATTGCTTTTACTATCGTGTACAGCAGAATTGTATCTGTCGTTCCGATTGTCATTCAAAACAAAGTTTTTACTATCGTTTACAGCACAATTGTGTCGGTCGTTAAGATTTCCATTCAAAACAATGGTTTTTACTATCGTTTATAGCACAACTGTGTCTGTCGTTTAGATTTCCATTCCAGCACAATTGTGTCGGTCGTTAAGATTTCCATTCAAAACAATTGTTTTTACTATCGTTTATAGCACAACTGTGTCTGTCGTTTAGAATTCCATTCAAAACAATTGTTTTTACTATTGTGTGCAGCACAATTGTGTCCGCCGTTCCGATTGCTATTCAAAATAATTGTTTTTACTATCGTGTACAGTAAAATTGTTTCTGTCGTTCCGATTGCCATTAAAACAATTGGTTTTACTATTGTGTACAGCAGAATTGATTCCGTTGTTTCGATTGCCATTCATAACAATTGTTTTTACTATCGTGTACAGCAGAATTGGTTCTGTCGTTCCGATAGCCATTCAAAACTATTATTTTTATTATCGTGTACAGTAGAATGTGTCCGTTGTTCCAATTGCCATTTAAATACAAAAAATTATGTACATTTTGATAAATGGTAAGTTTGATAAGGCAATTGTTTTGTTTAGTTTTTTTACCAAAACTTAATTAAAAATTCGAGGATGAGATTGTCATCGGAAGGTTTTTGCTCATGTTTGGTTCTATGGTTACCAATATAAAAATAATCGATTAAATTTCCAATGAGAACTTTCTACTTGCGATCCAACCACGTAGACGTTAGCAACTATAGGTCACGTATTAATGTATTCATTCATCTATGACTGTCCAAATGTTGAGTTTCGGAACTCTTGTAATGGATATAAATCCAGAAATTTACTTCTTGGGTTCGGGTATCTCAGTTTTTAGTTTCTATGTTGTGTTTTGTATACTCTTGTTTGTCTTTTGGCCTTTTTTCTTTTTTTTTTGCCATGGCGTTGTTAGTTTATTTTCGACGTATGAGTTTCAATGTCCCTTTGGTATCTTTCGCCTTTCTATTTCTAAAGGAGCAAACTTTGGTATTACATTTATTGGTTTTCGTTGTTCATGCTTAAGCCAAAATAAAAAAATGCACAATAACCAGACGATTTGAAAAACATCAGTTTCTATAAAATAACACTGTCATTTCAAAAACATAGAAAATGTCTATCATAAAGAAAATTGAAGTGGTGGTGACCTTTTTCTTTCCATTACCAATTTAGTGAGAGTTTTGATTAAAGTTTATTAAGACAACAGTAGTTTGCTGATATTCATATCTCATAAATCGATTAAGAAAAATCAAGGTAACACACAAAAACTGAGGACATCAGATGAAATTCAGATGATGCGAAACCTCATGCGTCGAGTTATGTATATTGTATATGCATGTCCTATCGCGAATACTATATTCAAATGACACCAGTTTAAAGACTGAATCAAATTCAAAATAATTAAACTTAACAATGCTACAAACCAAAACTAAATTTGATCAATTTACGGATAAGAAGCCAAAATCGATTGTATGCGTTGACAACATAAAACATGTAAAACGAAAAATTAGAAACTAAATATAAGAGATGTCCAATAGCAAAAATACGAAGATCATGCCACATGAAAACTAGTTGTCACTAGGAACCAACATAATGACAAAGTCTGCTTTTTGGTTACTTTTGTTAAAGATTTGAAAATGAAAATGCATTTTAGAGTAAAAAAACCTGGTAATGAATATCACTTTGTGATACAGTAACTGAATTAATGATATTCCAAGACAGGTGTGTACAATGAAAGGTTGTAGTAGCGTGCAGTTATTCGCATTTGCAGAGGGACATAGACATGATGTCAAAACAGTTAAAACATTGTTGTATTTTTTAATTTCTTTTTATAGAGTTTGGCGAAAAGACATGTGTTGATAAAAAAATAATTCTTTACAATATATCACACTAACATCTCGAAATTGAGTAACATTCAACCAATTAAAACACCTGGATGAATACAGGTGCTGCTATTATTGACCCGTTTCAGCACTGTGTGTCAAGTTCGTCTTGTCACGTGACTGAACGCTAATTTAACCACAGGTTTGAATTTTTTTTCAAGAAATAAAAAAATATGTACACATACAATCTTAAGTACCGAAGAGATTCCTTCTAGCCTCATTCACCATGAGCAACACGACGGGCGCAACTGCCAAAGCATGAACATAATTTCCATATGGAGCGCCTGAGCTCTCCTCATGTTTGATGGTATTTGTGTTGCTGAATCAATTGTTTAGTATTTTGCAATTGACGACTTGTTGGTATTTTTGTCGTTTTTGTTTGGTTTGCACGTAGTATCGTTTGTTTTCCATTGACCTGTGGGGTTATATCGTCCAATTGGTATCTTCTACCTCCTTGAACTGATAGGACATAAAAAGATGAGAGGTTGCAGCGTTCACTTGTTTTGTAAACAAAATCAACCTTATTACCTCCAATTGTTTAAGATACAGTTGTTCATTAGTAGAAGGGAAAGACTACACTAAAATACTAGACAAAGTAGCACTAAAACGATATAAGAGATTCGAAAGATACCAAAGGAATATGCAAACTCACAAGTCGAAAACAAACTGAAAATGCCATGGCAAAAACTGAAAAACAATCAAAAGGCAAACAATATATAAAAACAACACAGAAAACCAAAGACTGAGCAACACGAACATTTTCAAAAACTAGTGATGATACCTGGTCATTTGGAAGTATAGGCATTTCCTGCTTCACATGAGAGAAAATTGTTAGCGTAATGAAAAAGAAAAACATGTGTTTTGTATTTTTGATAATTGGTTTTAAATTAACATATAAGCAGTGTTTCTAAATATAACAGAATATTCTTTTACATAAATACACATTCTTCCACGGAAAGAATGATGGCTACATAGATCTTTAACCAATCTGAAAAATATAAACTACATTGTATATATTAATGATACATGTATGATAACAGGAAACAAATATTTCATACAAATAATATTACTTTGATCGTGACAATTCATTCAATGTTGGAATAGACTAGAATGAAAACGATATTGCCATTTTTGTCTAGTGTACATTGTATACAATTAAGAATTTCGGCAATGCCTAGTGTGGTTACGATATTGTCATTTTTTGCTGGTTTACATTGTATGGAATTGATATTATTGGGAAAGACTAGTGTGGTTAATAAGTTGCCATTAATTCCTACTGTACAGTGTACGGAATTGAGAATTTCGGCATAACCGAGAGTGGTAACGATATTGCCATTTTTGCCTAGTGTACATTGTATATTAATTGAGAATTTCTGCAAAGCCTAGTGTAGTTACGATATTGTCATATTTCCCTAGTTTACATTGTATGGAATTGAGAATTTCGGCAAAGCCTAGTGTGGTTAAGATATTGCCATTTTTCTTAGATGTTATTTTCTGTTGTGGATTACATTACAATGTGCAACTAAAGTAGAGTTTTCATTTTTTTTTCTTATTCCTTCGTTTCAGATTTACAGTCTCTTACAATTTTTCAAAGTCTGTGATAAATCGTCAGAAATATAAGTATCAATTGTGAGAACAAAGTTACCTGATGTCTATTTTTTATTGTTTTTGAATGAATTTTATCATTTAAGGTGGTGATGTATACATTAGCAATACGAGAGACACAACTGAGTAGCTATCATGAAGTTTGATGTTTCGATCTGGTTTCAAGATTATAGTGATTTCAAGGAAAGCATTGATGTTGTAGATTATCCTTCATATATTTGGAAATATAGGTCTTAGTACTGTGTGTAATGGAGGTGTGGGTAACAACTGAGTGGTATATGTTGTACAAAACAAGAATAAAGACCTATATTAATATATTGTTGACTGTAAATGGGTAAGTACCTTTATATATTTTTTAGCGGAACAACAATACATAAAAAACTACATCTTCAGTTCCGATCTCACACCGTAAGTATATTTATGTATACGTATTGCAAACATTAAGGAAGATGTGAATTATCGCATTAAATTCATAATATGTAATTTTGATTTGATTAATACTAACATGATAACATGGACAAGGTTTTTTACATTTTACAGCTTTGCCCCTGAAACGATTAAAACTTGTTGGATTAATTACTATAATTATTTACCATCACTGTTATAGTTTCGTATTCTGTTAAATAGTAATAAAGGTTCATGATCTATTTTTATTTTTATTTGATGGAAGATGGCAATTAAAATAGACTCGACTACAGTGCATTGCAATGTCATAATTGTTGTTCAATTGCAAACATCGTCGATTTAACCATTGTTTAATGGATAAAAGTTTCAGTTTGTAATGTCGTATAAAATTGCCCACTATCGATATTTATTCATACTAGGAAAAATTTTATTTATTTCATTAACAATTCTACGTAATCTTGAAACTTAATTAAAGATTGTATTTAAACTTGTATGATATGAGTCAAGCTCAAGTGGTATCAGTATTGTTCAATTTATAAAACTATGGTTTCTTAATATAAAATAAGGAGATGAGGTCTGATTGCAAATGAGACAACTGCGTAAATTACCTTTAAGCAATACGGGTTCAACTTATATAACAGACAGAAACCAACGAAAATCACTGAATTACAAAGGGATAGCCACATACATAATGTGTGACGGGATCAAACATGTTTCTGAGCGTTAAACAATACAAAACATTTTGCAACTGTAAATTCATGATATGCAATAGACCTTTTTCATATTACCGACTTTTGACTCCGGAGTTTATATGGGGAAAATTAACTGCTTTATATTTGCGCTCGACTTCAATAGTAGTTGACTAGGCTAATTAGTTTTCCACCGACGGTCGATTGTTCTCTCCGGGCACTCTGGCTTTCTCGACTATTAAAACTTAATAAAAACTGACAGCCACGAAATAGGACAATAGTGTTGAAAAAGGCATTAAACATCAATCAATTAATCAATCAATCAAGTTATCTTACGAGACAAATCAAATATGTATTGTTAATTCATATTTTGTTTTCCTCAGTTGCAAATATATCATGCAAGACAAAAAGACATAAAACATAAAATTTACAGGATGGTTTTACTGTAAAGACGGGAATGACTTGTGAGATTTCTAATTCTCTCTGTATTAAGAAGAGACAGGCGCTTTGCTTCATATTGAGGCCATGTATTTCCGTGAAGAGAACATTGAATTCTATTTACACAAGACATCGTATTTAACGCCTCCGTATTTCTAAATCTCGCAAATGCAAGTAAAATTCAAGCGAAATTTCGGATAACAGAAGTTCATGTGAATTTATATATCTATATCTTAGTTTATTCTTAGATTGTCAAAAGTGTGACGGATTCGCCCATTAAGATTTCTTCGAATAATCTTCTTGATTGTTATCCTTCGAAATTTGTATTTTTATACGTATATTCAGTTATGTAACAGAAGAATGAAAGAAAATGAACTGGCGTTAACTATTTTTACGTCTAAAAAATCATTATACTGTATCTGTAAATGAAATAAATAAGTATGTCAATGGTATTCAAGTTCACCAGAATTTCTTTTTTAATATACAATGTTATGTCTAATGAATCAGCGTGGGTTATCTCCCTTCAAACCTCTTTGAACGCAATGATTAAATCAGTTATAACAATGACAAGATGCATGTCTTGCTTAAGTAACGAGTTTTGTTTCGCGAGACAGTTTCCTATAATGTAAAGTTGCTAGTTGTATCTTTAATGTACACAGCTGGTAACGACATTTGACAATTGCATGTTTATTTTTCGTGTCTAATTTTTTTTTAGATAAACCATTCACATTTGTGTCCTCAGTAATATAAACCGAGGCTATGGTATAGGATTCAGGCTTTAATTTCTGGCTTTTTTCACATTAGATTATCGTTTTCTAATATAGTTTCTATAAATACATAAATGTATCAAACAATTACAATTGATCATAGATTTTTCTTGAAAGGAAGTCCTTATTCTGCACAGCACTATCTCGTGCTTGCGTTTTCCCGTCAATTCTCCCAGTCCGACAATTTTCAATCCTGGGTTTCAAGGTCAAATCTGGATTTTTCTGTCCAGCGGCTTCAAATTGATATACATAAGGATGCTCGCATGTAAAAAAAAATATTATTAATAATATAACAAACTTTGAACCAGGCAAATATCTTGCTGAGCTACAGTTTGATTTCAAACGAAAGCTTTTTCAGTAAAAGAACGATATAGGCAAACAGAATACTTACGAGCATCTAGCGTAACATGCATTGGTATATGTTTTACCATCATTACCACACACTGGACGATACACAAACGAGCATTTACAACCACAAGGACATTTACCATAACACTTTACTTTCACTCGACTGCAAAGATAGATACCTTAATTAAACTGTTTCTTTTGATAACCTGAAACCTGCAGATATGAACTTTTTCCAACGCAGAAAATGAAAAAGCCAAATCTGTCAATACTGCAATCTTTGAAAATGGGCTTGCAAGATGTCACAACAAGCTTTTTTTTAAGCAATCGATTTTGACACCAGTGGGTTTACCCCCAACGTAATACTGTTACTGTTTAACATGTTAAACTATTTTCTATACGGAAAATTAAAGAATTTCTTATATGTTGATGTTTTGGTCAATGTTGAACTATCTTTGACGTATAGACAATTTCATTTTTATTAACGTTGCCATTTAGATGTAATGAAACTGTTTTCTGGTTTTTATCGTTGTAAATATCTTAAAGTATCTCTTTTCCACATTTTGTAATTCAATTATAATTCTTCCATCATTTTCTGTGTAATTTTATCTACATATGAATTCAAACTGGGTTCAACAAGGAAAATGTCTAGCATTTGAAATTTTTGAAATGCAAATCTCACAAAGTAATGTGTGTCCGCCAAATTCGAATAAACTGCAAATCTATATCATATGGGTAAACTTATCATACCATTTATTGGCCCCTGCAAGACCTGGAGGGTCACGTTGTGATGAACATTTTCATCCTTTCACTTGTCTGTCAGTCCTTTCGTACTTTACAATTTTTGAACACTACTCCTTTAAAAATAGATTGCTATAAACCTCTATACTGCAGCCAACAATGTAGTAGTGGTACGACGTAAATACTACACGGAAGGTTTTAAAGGGCCATTAGCTATCAAACTCGTGTTCAACGATTCAACTCAAAATCTTATACCTGATTTATAACACACTAAAACGTCTATCTAAATTACCAGTATGTCTAAAGAAACCATTTACAAGGATAAACTTGCTTAGAGTTAACAATGACTATATACATCCTATGACCGGAATATCTCTCTGACTATGCAACCACAGAATAGATCTCCTTCCCAATAAAAAATTGTATGACAAGTCCTTTAAATAGTAATGCGCATTTAGCGTTACAGCAATTACTTTATGTTTTGCCATCATCTCCGTAAACAGGACTATATATAGCTTGATAGGTACACAAATTCAAGGGACATTTACCATCCACCTTACTTGCACCCCACTGAAAAAAAAACATTCACAATTTCTTAAACTAGTATTGAGTATGAAAAAGCTTTGTTGTGCTATTTGATCAATAGCTATGAAACAAAAAAATAAAATCAAGGTCGATAAGGCAGTGTTTGAACTGTCTTGAAATGAGCAAAACACAAAGTAACAGACACACACATATTTTCAAAAACACACTGAAGAGTAGTACAGTGACCTACAGAAATAGACAGCCATATTACTGCAGAAAAAATCAGAATTCTAGTACAGACTATGAAAATCAGATATTCCGTCATCTACTAGGTTTTTGTGCTGATACGTAGACAGAAACTAGAACCTGCTACGCCAAATTTGAATTCAACAGATAAATCACTCTGTGAGTTATGACGATTTTGGCGAGTTAGAAAATATTCATGAATACTTCCCGCAATAGATATAAAAGTATTGATAAACAAATAACAGACGTATTTGTCGCATGCAAATGATCCAAAATCATGGCGTAATAATATCGAGAACAATCATGACTACTTTATGCACCCTTCACAAACACGGATTTTTCTTACGAGTCCTTACGGATCGCACAAATTCACGGATCCATTTCGATTTGGCTACTTTTACGACAAATCTTAAAGATATTAGAAGTTATTACGAGCTGTTTACGATTATTTACGCATTATTACGAGTTATTACGATGCATTTTTGCTAAATTCAACGATTTGTTACTGATTGTCACGGATAACTACTTGCAACTTACGGCCATTTAACGACCTTTTTATGGCTTTTTACGAGTATGATACGGAATACTACAATTCATCGAAGCGTATTAGTTAAGACTTGTTATGTGTTGTTGCGAATAGTTTTGAGTGAGTGACGATTATTTACGAGTCATTTCAATTTTGCAGCTTTTTTATACTTTTTCCCAAATCTAAAACAGTACGTAAGAATACACAGAGTACACGTATTTATTAGCAAAGTACTCGTAGCTAAACGTAAAGTGTTTGTTATACCTCGTAACAATTCGTTAAGCCATCGTAACACGACTCGTAAAAAATAACAAACATTATGTAAGCACTCGTTATAGTTCGTGACAAAATCTGTAAACAAATCGTAAACTAACCGTAACAAATCGTCAAAAAAAATTAATTCGTGAACAATCGTTAAAAGATTTTTGATGTCAAAAAGCTTGCCTTTTTTGCAGGGATCCTTAAGTGTGTCTGAGAGTTGTTGAGAGTTGTGACGAGTTATTTACAGATACCAGGGAATTATTAATGGATTCCTGCGATTGACTACCAGGTAGCGATTATTTAGGACTCGTAAGAAAAATCCGTGTACGTGAAGGGTGCATACGACATTGCTTATATAAAGACTACCTTCACAAACACGGATTGTTTTACGAATCTTTACGCATAGGACACATTCATGGAACCTAACGATTTGGTCACTTTTACGACCGATTTTAGACTTGTAACGATTTATTACGAATAAGTATGAGCTAGTTACGAGTATGTTAGAGTCCTTGCAATTTTGCAGCTTTTATACCTTTTCTCAAATCGTAAACAATACATTATGGTACGTAAATTATACGTATCTATTCGTAAAGTACACGTATAGTGTTCGTTATAATTCGATACATCCATCGTAAAACGACCATAATAAAATTATAAGCAAGACCTAAGAACTCAACTGAGTCATTTATGGATTCTTGTGAGCAGTTTATGGATGGTTACGTGTTGTTGCGAGCGGTTTCTGATCGGTTTACGATATTTACGGTTTGTTTCCAATATTTTACAAAAACCCAATCCATGAACAATCGTAAGAATACTTTTGAAATGTAAAAAAAAACAAAATGCCTCTCCTTTTAACGATCTTTAAAAGTGTCTTCGAGTTGTTGCGAGTTTCGACGAGTTATTTACGGCGAGTGTTTAAGTGTTTTTGTGGTTGGCGATCAGTAAGGACTCGAAAGAAAAATCCATGTATGTGAAGATGGCGTAAGATAAAAACTGCGTGCTATGCAATTAGAAATTCTGACTAAGATGATCATCAAAAAAAGTTGAACACAGATTTAAAGATGTATACTTTCTAAAAAATTCTTATTGTTCTTGAATTTCTTGTTTCTGGTTCTAGTGTCGAAATATGGATTTTTTTAACACTTTTCTGGATACAGATGTTGAGTATTAAAAAATAATTAAAACAACCTGTCTCAGGAGTTCCTTTCTAATTGAGAAAATAGGATTAATCTACTACCCATTTAGATAGTCGAATGTATTCAATACTTACGCACATTTAGCGTTACACCTATTACTATAAGTTTTACCATCTCTTCCGCAAACAGGACGGTATTTTTTGTTACAGGTACACAACTTACAGGGACATTTACCTCTACACTTTACGTCGACTCCACTACAGAAGAAGAAAACTAATTTAGTTGTTATGAATATGCAAAAGCTTCGTTGTACTATTTGAACAATAGATATGAAAAGCATATGAAATGGAATGAAGGTCGATAAGATTTTGTGGTAGTGTTTAACAATTGAGTAAAACACATGTACACAGTGAAAGAGATGACAAACTTTTTAACTTGCTTAAGAGAAAACAATGACTAACAGAATCAAAAAGCCAGTTTAACGCTGCAAAATTTTTTAGAATACATACCATGAAAATTAGGTATCAAGATATGTCATATTATCAATTATATTTATATGCTAAATTACTAAGGCCCTTTGTTATAATTTACGATAGCCAATTTAGTGTACGCATTATTATGCGAAAGCTTTGACAAATGAAAGTCTTCGGGCAGACCGGCGACACGTTTTATCACTGATGTCACTGGGTTTCTGTGCTGATAACCAGAAAGAAACTAGAACCTGCAGCTCTGCATTTTAATGCAATGGATCACTACGCAAGTATTAATGATAACGCCACGATAGAAAGAACGATTTGCAAATACATTCCTCAATAGATTGAAAAAGTGTTGATAAAACAAATAACAAACATAGAAGGCGCATGCGAATGATCCAAAATTCTGACATAATCTTACCACGTACATGATTATGAACCATTACATTATGAAGAAAATTCGCGAAAGATGATTGGAATCACTGTACAAATTGATAAAACTCAGTAAAAGATATTTGCGCTCTTAAACATTGCAGAAGATTTGATTTATTGATGTTTTGTGGTTAATGGTTCTTAGGCTGAAAGCTAAAATACTGGGAAAAATGCTGAAAGTAAAACAAAAAGTATACAAACATCCTGTAGTCGGGATCTCTTTATATCTAAAAAAAAAACATAGACTTAATATAATCTCATTCAAAATACAAATTTAAATAGTCAAATGCATTCAATACTAATACACATTTAGCGTTACGCTCATAACTAAATGTTTAGCCAGCATCTCTGCAAACAGGACTGTTACATGTAATATGTAGATAGCTTGACAGGTAAATAATTACAAAGACATTTACAATCGCACTTAATAGTTACTCAACTTTAAAATGTATACAATGTCGTTTAGTAGTATTGAGTATGCAATAGCTTCTTTGTAGTATTTGAACAAACAAAAAAATAACAAGCAAAAGTGGAATAAAGATGGATCATATATTGTTTGAAATGAATTATATTGAGCAAAACACAAAGGCTAATAAATAAGACAAATGATTTGACATTTAAGAGAAAACAGAATCATACAGTCTAATTAATTACAGACATTAGATGATTGATGCAAATACTATGAAGATAAGCTAGCCCTTTATAGCTTGCCGTTCGGTGTGAGCCAAGGCTCCGCGTTGAAGGCCGTACCTTGACCTATAATTGTTTACTTTTATAAATTGTTACTTGGATGGAGAGTTGTCTCATTGGAACTCATACCACATCTTCCTATATTTATCTATGCTATATATTTGACTAGTAGATTAATCATATTCATATGCTTAATTGTTGTTGTTTTATCGAAGCTAACTTCGTGTTTGCATTTTTCTACAAAATTCTTTGACAAATGCTACTCTATAAGAGGAACCGGCGACACATTTTATAATAGACCATAGACATCTACTGGTTTTTTTCAGCACTTGATGTTCTGCATTTTAATTTATCGGATCATTTTGTTAGTTATTACGATAGAGGCGAGTTAAAAAAAAGACTTGCGAATACATTCCCCAATATATTATGAAAGTTTTTTGATAAACAAATAACCATTGTACAAGCCGTATGCATATGGTTTGATCTTGATTGTAAACTTTGACAACGCAGTATGATGTTTTAAGTTGTAATATTATTCCATTGATAAAGTTTCGTTCACAAAGTGCGTCAAGGCCAGAGAAGAGTGATTACTGAATTCTAAATATCTACTGTTTTACACTTTTCTTTATATTCTTTCATCCGATACATAACCTTATAAAGTAGCGAAGAATAAAATCCATCCCAAAAATACTCATTTAGAGAAATAGTAAGATGCATTTAAAGTTTACGAGCATTTAATGTATATATATATGAGTTGTCATCGACTCAACAAACAGGACTGTAATTCTGACAGTCACATAAATTACAAAGATATTTATTATTACCCTGTGCTTTAACCCCAGTTAAAAAACATTATTCAAATTTCGTATATTTATATTAAGTATGCACGATTATCGTTTTATCATTTGAATAGTATATATCAATGGAAAAACTGAAAGAAAGTCGAACAAGCGTTATGTGAATTATTCTAAATTTGGAAAAATCAAACAAAACGACAGGAAAATTTGAATATTTAAACATTTTTACGAAAGGTTACACTGAATGATCTTAGATAATCAAATTACGGACATAACATACAATTCTCATTTGAATAATTCAAAACATAACATGAACATATCCTGTATTACCAAGTTGTATAGGTTAACTGTTGTCAACACTTTTATTTATACCTAGATTACCTGAAAGTCTAAACTAATACAAAAATCCTTCTACTAAATCCCTTTTTATTTAGGTAAGAAAGAATAAAATCCCTTCCAAAATAACATATGGTCAAATAGTAAAGTGTATTCAGAACTTACGCGCATTTAGCGGTACAGCTATTACTATATGTTCTACCATCATCTCCACAAACAGGACGGTATATTTTTTTACAGACACACTTGTTACAGGGACATTTACCTTTGCACTTTGGTGTCACCCCACTAAGGAAATATAAAACATTGTCCTTTAGTAAAACTGAGTATGCGATATCATCGATGTACAATTTGAATGATATATTAACATATATATAAAAAAAAATTAAAGGTCGATATATTTTTGTGTGCATTGTAATAAATTGAATAATTAAAAAGGCTCAGGCTGAGAGAGAAGATTTTTTTTTTGTTTTTGAACATTAGTAAGAGAAAACAGTGACTCGCAGAATCACAGAGCCAATTGACTGCAGAAACATATAGAATACGTACTATGAAATCATATATTACGTCATGTCATATAAATCATTATATCTTTAAGCTAAATCACTAATACTTGTTTTATTACCACAACTAACTTGCTGTATAAACGCATTATTCTGCAAACGTTTAGGCGCATGTAACTCCTCGTGGGAGACCTGTGACACTATTTTAATTATCTCATAAATCTACCTTTTTGTACAGATTTGAAGACAAAAACTAGAAAATGCTGCTCTGCATTTTAATTTAACGGATCATTCCGTCAGTAATTACGATATAGGCGCGTTAGAAATGATTGACGAATGTTACAGTCCTGCACACCGTATGCAAATGTTCCAAATTCTTGACGTAATCTTTCCAAGATCGTGATTGTTAGCTATGACATCGGCCATTAAGAGGATATTATTTGCCATATTATGACATTGGTATGCTTGTAAACATGATTGGAATCAAAACAAAAAAAAGTAAACACGGAAATAAATATGTGTTCTTCTTTTGTAGAAGATATTATTGGTTTCGATTTATTTCTTATGCTGAAATATTGGAATTTTGTTTTTGTTTTTTTTTCTTCCAGATAAACATGTTTGACGGGAGTTAAACAAAATACTACAAGCATCGTATCACCGACTAAGGAAGCAAAGAATAAATCCTCCTCCCAATAAAAATTTGAACGTCAAATGCACTCGATACTTACGCGCACTTAGCTTTACACGCATTGTTATACGTTTGACCATAATCCCCACAAACAGGACTGTATACAGCTGGACAGGCACACAAATTACAGGGACATTTTCGTTTGCATTTAAATCTCACCCCACTAAAAAAAATATTCACAATTACCCTTTAGTATTTCAAATGTGCAATTAATTCGTTGTTATATTTGAACAATAAATTCAAAGAATGCACAGGCTGAAAAAAAAACATGACTAACTTCGACACATAAATAAGGTAAAAACAGAAACTTACAGAAACAACAAATTACTACTGCAAAAATAAAATCAGAATGCATTATATCAATATCATATATTCAGTCATGCCATATAATCGATTACATGTATATGCTAAATCACTAATACTAATTGTATGACGGCAACTAAATTAGTCTTGGTGTACTCATTATTCTGCAAAAGCGATGAGAAATATAATCATTCGAGGGCGACACGTTTTATAACAGAAATCTACTGGTTTTTTGTGCGTTCTGATCCTTAGACCGAATAAAAAAATTTGAACAACAAATTTGAGCCTTACAAACTGCATACATATGGTCCAAAATGAAAATATGTTCTTACTAAGATCATCATTGTCAACTATAAAAAAACATTCATTATAGAGATAAAAAATATCATCCTATAAAAAATTATGATGGATATGATCGGAATCACCAAATAAAACGTAAACATGGAAAAATCGATGTTTGCTTCCTTTTAAAAGATCCGATTAGTTTTGAACTTTTGGTATTTGGTTAAAAGAATGGAAATTTGTGTCTGAAAATAAAGTTTTCCCTTTATTTGTCTTCGTGGTATTATGTTTAATTTGGTCGTATGACTTTTCATATGACTCGGTACTGATGCATCCCGCTATCGGGCGTTCATGGTGCAAGTCGGTCCTGATGTGTGATTCGTACGCAAAATAGGTTTACATTGTTGTTTCCATTTTGTTAACCCTTGTATTTATATTTTACTAATCATGTACTTTATCGAAAAGGTTTATACTACATACGGTATGTAATATCAACCACAAAAGCTTTTTATCTGCGTCTTTGTCAATTTACTATCAACAACACGAAACATTTTGTGAGTGTCTTTGTTAGATTTATTTGTATAAATACAAAGATGTGGTATGAGTGCCAATGAGACAACTCTCCATCCAAGTCACATTATTTGTATATAATTGTATGAATTTTTTAATCATTTGTGATGTATATTACAAAGTTTTGGCTGCTGGGTCCTAATTATTATGACATTAACATATAACGTCTGTTTATGTTGCTCGTCTTGTTTTGTCAATATAACGGAACTATTATCAACTGTCATACAAGAGAAATTTTAGCGAGCTATAAAACCCGGGTTAAATCACCACTTTCTTAAAATAAAAGTCAGGAAATTGACGGTTATTTTTCACTCGTTCCGTTGATTGATCACGTGTTTTTGTCAGTTTTTATGGACTTCCTTTTTGTGAATTTGCCTTGGAGGTATTTGTGTTATACTTTTTTTTATACTAAACAAGAACTAATACATAGTTCAAGTTTTAACTGTTCTCGAGTAAATTACATGCAAATGAATTTAACAGGTACTGTTATACAAAATACTTTTTTGATTGTTAAGTCATCTATCCATCGTATTTGTACGTGAGATCGCACAATACCAGTTGTAAAAACGAAGAATGGGCTTCAAATACCTAATAACAAATCAGTCGATGTTCTTTCTGCTTATCAACTTCGCGTACAAATTCTAATCCTATTATTTGTTGTGAGTTTATTCAATGATTCCTCATTATTATTTTAGAACTTGTACAGCTACCAAAATTTCAGTCGCAAAAGAAACAAAGCGTTTATTGAGTTGTTTGTGATATTCAGCTAAATTTTTAATTACCATAAGAAACTTCTACTTTCGTTTTGATGAAAACCTAAAAAAGTATTGTTTTATTAGTATTTGCCCAAATGTAGGATGTCCTATCATAAAAGATTTTTGAACAGCTCCAGAAAAAAAATCTAAACTTTTCAAACTAATTAAACTCGCTTAAACATCTAATATTTAAATGTTTAATAGCACTGAGATATTTATCCATCTAAGACTAAAACTAAAATAAATCAGATTGACTAATTGCTCCTTAAAAGAGAGGCGAAAGATACCAAAGAGACATTCAAACTCATAAGTCGAAAATAAACTGACAACACCATGGCTAAAAAAAAAAGACAAAAACAAGTACACATAACACAACATAGAAAACTAAAGACTAAGCAACACGAACCCCACAAAAAATTGTGGGTGATCTCAGATGCTCCGGAAGGGTAAGCAGATCCTGCTCCGCATGTGTTGCTCATATTAGTACAAACCCGGTAATAAGTCTAATACGGTAGGTCAAATTCGCGGAAAAGGGGACGGGATTGTAGTAACGACATTTGGAACATATCTGCTATCTTCTGTGAAACGGATATTTCAGAACGGTCAACTAACTCGTGATGGCGTTCGTAACATTTACGAAGGGATGATTTCAACTTCATTACTTGAAACTCTTGGTTAAAAAGCTTCCTTGTGAGCAGCAACTTTCTTTCAAGGAAATCTATAAATGCTATTGGTCAACACGATGGCATATAAGGATAAGAGACTAGCATTTTGTTCACACCATATTTTAGATAAATTTGCTGAGAGTTAAACATCATGCAAACATTCTAATACCTCGATTTCTTCTAAATGTGGAAGCAAAGATTCTCATATGCTTCTTTCGTTTTGTAAACAACAACGTGATAAAATTCTCGATATATCTAAACTTGGCGCAGACTCAGAGATGTACATATTATTGGCTGTTACTTTTTACCTCCGACATAAATCCACATGTATCGTAACCTATGTGCAAACACTATGTGAATTTCGTTGTGTTAAAATCAAAATCGAAAGAGAAACTAAATTGTATAAATCAAAATAAAATAAAATTCCGCGAAATTTTATGAATGAATTTGGCGCATTAACGTCATGTCAAAACATGACGTCAAACGAATGAAAACTCTCAAGCTGAAAATTATTCAGTTACGTACACGCTCTAAATTCGGATAAAATATCACATTAAAATGGCGTTTTGAGGTAGGTGTTGTTTCATTTTCTATTCTATTGCATCATTTGCACATTCATGGATTTCAGAAAGTCAACATGACGACTCACTCCTTAGTTACGACATGTCAGCTGTGGATTTGACAGAAATATTATCCAATAAAAAAACGTTTGTGTTAAGAATTATAAGGATTGATGACATTTTATCTAATGGTTATTTAAGAAATAATTCATGCAAGCCTTAGATTTATTCAAAATTTGTAGTTTTTTTATCTTACAAAGGGTAAAATATAACAGCCATACACACGGCAAATTTACCTTCGCTTCAGTTTTTCAAATTACCGTTTTTTTCCTTTTAGAATGGCTTCCATGAATTATTTTTCACATAAAGCCTCCCCCGAAGCCGAATAATAAAGTGCAATAATACTTAAAGTAACACTTATTACTATATGTTTTATCATCATCTCAGAAAACAGGAGTGCATGTACATAAAGGGACACAAATTATGGGGAAATTTACGATTGCATCCTTCTTTTACACCATTAAAAAAACTATTGCCGTTTGTTATAAAAAGCATCTAATAGCTCAGTTGTAACATTTCAACAAAAACTAATAAAAGCAAATACGGAATAAAAGACAATTATGCATTCTGTGAATTGGACAAATTTAGCAAAACACCAATACTTAGATTGAGAAAATTTTTTACAAGTTATTATCCTAATTTAGACATGACAGTTACAGAGAGAAACATATAATCCAGCTTATATAAAAATAAGGAGATGTGGTATGATTGCCAATGAGACAACTATCCACCCAAGTTCAAATGAAGTAGATGTAAGCAATTATAGGCAACCGTACGGCCTTCAACAATGATAAAAATCCATACCGCATAGTTGGCTTTTAAAGTCTCCGACATGAAAAATATTACACATTTCAATTAGGAAAACTAGCGGCCTAATTTATAACAAAATAATTTACGAAAAAAAAAATTGACAGGCATGAATCAACGACAACCACCGAACTACAGTCTCCTGACTTTAGACAGGCACACAAAGAATATTGCAGACTAAACGTGTTTGTGAGCGCTCAACCCTCCCTCTAACCTGGGACAGTGGTGTTACAGCACAACATAAGAACAAACTATAAAAATCAGTTGAAAATGTCTTAAATTATGTCAGTCAAATTAGTTGTTAATTGTTTTGTTACAAATTAGGCCGTCAGTTTTCTCAGTCGATTTGTTTCATATTTTTCAGGTCAGGGCCTTTTATAGCTGACTATATGGTATGGAATTTGCTCATTGTTGAAGGCCATACGGTTGCCTATAATTGCTTACATCCACTTTATTTGAACTTTGGTGGATGGCTGTCTCATCGGCAATCGTACCTCTGACATCTCCATATCTTTATAATTCATCAAATCGATACAATGCAGAAACACATCTATCAAAAACACAGACCGGACGTGGCAGGGTATTTGTACATCCCTAACAACAAAAGACACAAAGTACAGATCTGAGAGTATTCGCAGTTACTGACAGCTAGTTCAAAGCCAATATCAACTAATAAAAAAAAATTATGTATATAACACTAATATATCAACCAGAACACATTGAACATCCAATGAATTAGGTGTAAAGACGTCATTAACAGTCAGAGAAAAACATGACCTTGTGCAATGCCAAAATATAGGTATCAAAAAATCGTAGTACCGTGAAAGTACAAATGTATATAACAATACTATAGTATGGTTTTAATTTACTGACAACAAAATCAAATTTTTTACCAATAAAGACAATATTCAAAGATCTAATTACAGTGTTGAATTGGTAACCTTTTAGAATAAGTTTATTTAAAGGATTGCTAAGTTTACTCGGATCGTATATCAATTTTGGGGCTCGGTAAACAACATCATCGTAATTTTAGGATGTGCTATTCCGTCTGAAAAAAAGTTTTTTACAGGTACAGCCAATCTTGCTAACCAAATTTTTGTATCTATGGAAGAATTTGGTAAATGTTTGGGATATTCAATAACTATTATATAGGAATACTCAGTAACAGCTGTAGATTAAGTAAATTTTTAACAGTAAAGGTGTAATAAATTTGAAAACTTTGTGTTAAAAAAAAATGTTAATGCATACAGTTACTATGATAATCATTTTTTGTTCAGTCATGCCATATTATCAGGTATTAAATCATTTTGTAAAAGGATTTCTAGAAAGCCTTCCCATACAAACGTCGATACCTGATTATTAGCAACAGATAACTAAGTCTACGTACTTCTTCAAATGCTTTTACTTTTGATCCTTCGGACACGTCCGGTGACCCTTTTTACATTAAATCTACTGATTCTATGCTGATTTATCGATAAAAATTACATGTATAACCTGTTGTCTGCATTTTAACTAGATGGTAACTCCGTAAGTTATTACGAAATACTTGCCTTAGAAAACATATACTATTACATACCGTCATACAATTGAAAAATTTGGATAGACAAATTGCAGACGTACCAGCCGCAAACAATTAATAAAATATTTTGGCGTTATTTTTTCCAGATCTTGATTATCAAATATAACCTTGTTCTTTACAAGGATTAAAGTTGTTATACAAAGCCATTACTCAGTGTCAACTGAATGACACCAAGATGGCCCGTAAAAGGATACCAACACGTTATATATGTATAAGATTACTTCTGTTGGAGAAGATATGATTGAAATTGATCAGAATCTTTGTATCTGAGACTGATTGCCTAGCGTTTTGTTTACACTATTTTTTTAAATGAATTTGCTGACATTTGAAAATTATGAAACATCGTAGTACCTTTTATTACTGTGGAAGCAAAATATAAATATCTACTTCAGAACAAGTCGAATGTTAAAGTTCTGTTATACTTACGCGCATTTAGCTATACACTTATTATCATATGTTTTGTCATCAACTCCGCAAACAGGACTGTACTTTTTTGAACAGGAACACAAATTAACACACGGACATTTGCTATTGCATTTTACCTTCACTCCACTGAAAAAAATGAATTTCCAATTACCTTTAGTCATATTGAACATAACTGCAATGAATTAGTTGACCAATATTTACATAAAAAAAATAAGGGAAGAAAGTCAATTAACATTGTGTTGATTGGATAAAATTTAACAAAACACAAAGGTAAAATCTGAAAAAAGTGACGTATTATTAAACATGATTTAAAGAAGACAATTGAAAAGAAATACACATAGACATTATACCGCGAAAGACAGATACTGTGAAAATATGACAATCAACTTTATTACATCATGCCATAAAATCAATTATCAAGTATGTTATTTTGTTATTAAAAAGTTCATAAGTAGAAAGGCGTCTTCTACACACATTGATACCTGATGATTTACTTCAAAAAACTGATTGTACGCATTTTTACTACTAATTTATTCCTTCAGAAGAGAACGGCAACACATTTTATCTTAAATTCTATTGATGTTATGCTTATTTATAGACAGAACTAGAACCTGTTGAATTGCATTATCATTCAACGGATCAGAACGAAAGTTAATACGACATTTACAAAATAGTTGTGTTCGAAAATATTTGCGAATACATACCGTGTACAATAAAGAAATTTTGTAAAACCAAATTACGGACGTATCAGTCGTATAAAATCTACAACTTTATGACGTTATTTTACCAAGATCTTGATAGTGAAATCTTATATTGTTCAAATTATAATGTGGAAAGTTGTTATACTATGCCATTACTCAATGTCCACTGAAAAAAACCGGCATGACCCATGACCCGACAAAAATAAAAATAACAACAAGGTATGTAAGTTTACTTCTTTTGGAGAAGATATGATTGAAATTGATCAGAATCTTTGTATCTGAGACTGATTGCCTAGCGTTTTGTTCACACTATTTTTTTAAATGAATTTGCTGACATTTGAAAATTATGAAAACATCGTAGTACCTTTTATTACTGTGGAAGCAAAATATAAATATCTACTTCATAACAAGTCGAATGTTAAAGTTCTGTTATACTTACGCGCATTTAGCTATACACTTATTATCATATGTTTTGTCATCAACTCCGCAAACAGGACTGTACTTTTTTGAACAGGAACACAAATTAACACACGGACATTTACTATTGCATTTTACCTTCACTCCACTAAAAAAAATGAACTTCCAATTACCTTTAGTCATATTGAACATAACTGCAATGAATTAGTTGACCAATATTTATATAAAAAAAATAAGGGAAGAAAGTCAATTAACAATGTGTTGATTGGATAAAATTTAACAAAACACAAAGGTAAAATCTGAAAAAAGTGACGTATTATTAAACATGATTTAAAGAAGACAATTGAAAAGAAATACACATAGACATTATACCGCGAAAGACAGATACTGTGACAATATGACAATCAACTTTATTACATCATGCCATAAAATCAATTATCAAGTATGTTATTTTGTTATTAAAAAGTTCATAAGTAGAAAGGCGTCTTCTACACACATTGATACCTGATGATTTACTTCAAAAAACTTATTGTACGCGTTTTTACTACTAATTTATTCCTTCAGAAGAGAACGGCAACACATTTTATCTTAAATTCTATTGATGTTATGCTTATTTACAGACAGAACTAGAACCTATTGAATTGCATTATCATTCAACGGATCAGAACGAAAGTTAATACGACATTTACAAAATAGTTGTGTTCGAAAATATTTGCGAATACATACCGTGTACAATAAAGAAATTTTGTAAAACCAAATTACGGACGTATCAGTCGTATACAATCTAAAACTTTTATGACGTTATTTTACCAAGATCTTGGTTGTGAAATCTTATATTGTTCAAATTATAATGAGGAAAGTTGTTATACTATGCCATTACTCAATGTCCACTGAAAAAAACCGGCATGACCCATGACCCGACAAAAATAAAAATAACAACAAGGTATATAAGTTTACTTCTTTTGGAGAAGATCGTATTGGGATTAATTAAAAGTAATTTATCTCAGAATGAGAGACAGACATTTTGTTTACACCATTTTTCAAATAAATTTGTTGATTTTTTTAGATAAATCATTCAAACAACAACTTATACCTCGATTTCTGTCTCATAGCGAAATGACAAAATAAATATCATCCTCAAAATAAAAATTAATACTAACCCCGCATTAAGCGTAAACCTCTACTATATGTGTTGTCATTATCTCCGTGAGCAATACCGTATATTTTTGGACAAAGACACAAATTACAAAACCACTTACAAGTGAATCTTACTTTTACGCTATTAAAAAAAATGCAATTCCTTTCAGTAATATTGAGCTTACTATAATTTTTTTTTCATTAGTTGAACAATAATTATGAAAAGCATGTTTGCAATGAAAGTGTGTTAAATGGATGAATTTTAGCAAAGACTGAAAAGGTTAACAACTAATCTTGTATGTTAAATTCTTTTGGAGAAAAAAAGTCAGTATTTCTTAGGATGAAAGACAGGCACTTTGCTTACACCATTTTTAAAAAAAAAGCTGCTGATAGTTAAAAATATTTAAACATAATATTACCTCGAGATTTTTCTAACTGTGAAAGCAAATAATTTATCTTCCATTCTAGCCCGGCAGGTTACGTCAATATTTAGAAAATATGTTCTGTTTGTTGTACAAGCATCAACATTTGCATGGGTACTCCCCATTAAGATACTTGTTTGAAAAAAACCGTTAGCTATCTTTTTTGCTTTTTTTTTTTTTTTTTTTTTTTTAAATGGTGGCCAATTTCCAGATGACCGCTAATCCTGATTTAAAAAAAAATAATCTTAATATAAAAGTAGTCTTAGTAGCTCCATTTTAATGGTGTTTAGGTCAAATAGTAGATTCGCTTTTATAAATAAGCCAAATACTATATAATATTTAAGACATTTCATATTATCATATATTAAATTCTATATAACTTATTTGTCACAAAATTACTGTTCACAATTCATATGGTATTACCATTTTAAATTATATAAAGTTCAAGATTTATATCCATAAATTTTGCAGGAAAACGTCATTAAAATAGTTAGCGTTTAATTTAAGTTGGCCTGAGGATAGAATAATTATAGCAGTCTATTGAAATTGTGAAGATAGATATTATAAGGATTTGAAGTGTGACAATCAAACTGATTAAAATAAATGTTGCTTTTGTCAGACAGATAAAAAGGTGAAGATTTTACATCTCCACCAACTCCCTATTCATGTTGTAAAGAAAATGGTGGCTACTACATGATCGCAACAAATATTCCATCTTCCAAGCCATCAACCAACTACCGATTATTTTAAGTCCTATCAGATTAGATAATGATGATGGTATTGAAGACACACTGAGACGGAACAATGCCAAATATCCCCAGAACTGTAGGTTATTCTTCAATTATACCAAGCTAGCCATGGCAAGAAGAGGTCTGCTTTAAATAGGATCTCCGCAGACGATGGACAAAAGCAAGGTTAAAAGAACCAGCATTGAATGTCGAGTGTGTTTTTTATGAGATAAGGAAAATCCAACATCTGAACTGCGACAAGCCATGATAATGCAGCTTGGTGAATGGTTAGATGAATGTGCCCTAAACCTTAATGATGGAAAACTTCCGACAGTACTTAGTGGAGGAGATGTTGTTGCACAAGAGCTGAAGTATCACTATTCTGACAGCTCTGACAACAAGGAGAAGGCTCACCTATTAAAAATTTAAAAATCAGAATGACAGTGAACTCTTTGAAGAACGGGAATTATATCCACTTGGTTTTCAGAGCTCCTCATCTACGTAGGGGAGACACAACAGTTAGTGTTAATCCTGTTATATTCCATCTTGCAGATCTAGCCAGTCTCTACAAGCATCGACTTTTTTATAAGGAATGCAAACACCTGATGTCAACTCTACTAGATTATAGGAAAAAATGATCGTAGAAATTCCTGAACTTGAAGCTCATAAGAATGAAAGGGATATTCTTCTAGCTTTCAAAAAGGATATTGGTGCGGCTTTGTCACAAGCAGCCAACTATTCAGAAGCTATTATCCTTGCCAAAGTTGCCATGATGCCAGGATTTTCTGAAACATTCATAAAGGATGTGTTGAAAGTGCAATTCCCTCCACACTTCTTAAGTTTCTGTGGATGATTGAGCATGGTGCTGATATAAAGTCACAATTACGCTTTGGTGCATCCAAGACCGATCTAACAATGGCTCAACTTTTACAATACAGTTGCTATGCTAAGTACAGAGAAGGAACAGCAACTCACAGGCATTCAAAAGACCGCAAATCCCCGTTTGCTATGTCTGATTGGGGATGTCTGTCTATGCCAAAACCAGAAAAAGAAGCCTCCTTGCATGGACATGGCCTTAGCATTTAATATGATCGGGTGCTGGGAGATACAGCAGTAAGTAAATACATTTAAGAAGGAGTAGTGTGTCCGACAGTAATAAGGAAAAGGTTTTTACCACAGCTACTACGGACAACATATACCATAATCCTACTGCAACGACAGCAACAACTTTTTTCAATTTAACTCTTCCAGCATCCATCAGCTGGCAATGCAGATGAAAAATGTGAGTCAGTTCACATTAAAGACAACAAGGTAAAGAGGGTTCCTGAATTTCCTGATTCTTGTACAAATATCTACCCTGCTTTCCTCACGAAAAAGAATCCAATTCCATCTAAAGCCAATTTACCATTGGACGTATGAATGCAAATTGATTTAACAGTTGAGCATGAATGGCTTGAGAGAGTAAGCCGAAAAGAGACAACTGATGAAGACGACAACATTGCATAGTCGGCGCATTGCATGGGTCCAGTATTTGATGTGAGTAGAACATCGCTGTTACCTCTCATCCGTGAAAAACTCCATTCAGTGGCCACAAAACGACATGTCATGGATAATATCAAAGACACGGTTGCATATCTGAGTTATTGCTGCTGATCACAATCTATGCATTATCAAAACAAATTCAGTGGCATTGGCCCGAAAGGTATGGCAAAGACAAGTTTGTCGTTATGTTTGGGGTGTGCATATTGAAATGGCAGCATTTAAGTCCATTTGAAACCTCCTCGAAAATAGTGGATGAACAGGAGCCATTGTTGAGGCAGGGATTGCTTTCTCGGAAGCAACAGAATCTTTTTTTTTCTGCTTACAATTTCACTAGGATACGGCAAATGCACCAGGTTACGGTTAGTACACTTACACAAGGTACACAAAGAAGACTACAGGTGTTACTGTTGAGACTCAGAGGCCAGTGAACAAACACAGAAGATGCTAAGTATCGTAGACTAGGGCGAAAGACGCAAAACTGAAAGTACACAATTTCAAAATTGGATTTCGGTGTGGACAATGGAATTAACAATTTGTCCCGGGTCCGATCATTTCGAGAAGCAGACTTTTCTTTATACCGTCAATCATTATGCGAGTTGTTACCATTTTTTTTTTATCAATAACAATGTGAACTATGCATGATGGCTCCCCATTCATCTCATAAAAATGATGTTACTTAAGCACATACATATCCTCAGCCAGCTGAAGAATTTCATAACGGAAAATTTGTTGTTCACAAATTTATTCGTAAATTGTCAGCGTAGGCTATTGACCAAGCACATGAGCAAGCAAATGGTGTTATCAAAGGTGATGGTGGTGCCATTTGTGTAACAGAAGACCCATCTGCATTACGACGTTGAAAGGTAGCCGGACCTAAAGTCAGTCACTTGGTTGCTATGTATGAATCGGCATCTGAAGCCAAGAATGCCAAAGAAAGTACAAGACATTATGAACAGACAGAAAAAAAACACAAAAAACTTTCCTCGATAAAGTTCAGAAGCTGTATACTAAAAGATATTGGCAATCCCATTATGGAAGAGACCGACGAACTTTTTACACTAGATACAAAAAGTGTTGCCCATCGAAGTGCCGCTCACATGGTTGCTTCTCATTTTGATAGTGGTAAAACTCGCTTCAATGAGTTTATGAAAGAGTTGGACACAGAAGAGTGATCATTTTATCAGCCAATTATGAAGAACAAGATCGATTTCTTTCGGCATATGTCAAAATTGAAAGCAAGGGATTCAAAGGGAAAAAAACTTAAAAGGATGACTGTCGTCTGTTCTCTACACTTTTCATTTCTTGCCAGTCTAGAGAATGTGACCTCATGGAATTTTCAGTATGAGAATCAATCTTTTCCCGCTGCAATGACTGATAATGCTTTTCACCACAACTGTCAGAAATCGCAGCTTGCGACAATCCTGGAAACTTGCTTTACTCCTCCTGATACTGAGCCAGAAGCTGGTGTCATCATTTTTGACGGATCGGCTTTCATCAATACATTGCTTCCAAGGAAATCGAAGACGTTGGACGAATATGCAGCACTAGAGATAGTCCCAAACGAACAAACATATAGCTGTACTTACACAATAACATATATTGTGTCTGAGGTATACTAGTTCTATTGTTTAAAATCTGAAACACTATCAAAGCGATGCATAGGCACAAGACGCAGAGTGACTGATAAAGGGAAAATCCCAGAAAATTGGCGAATCTTCATGAGAGACAATAGCAACAAGATTGAGCTTTTTACCTTTCTGACGGATAAAATTGTGAAGATGTGTCAAAATAAGAAGAAAGCGTTGTCTGCAATCAGTCTATAAATCTTGAAGCACTGAAACACTGCAATCACGAAAAAAGCAAACACACGAATCTTCTTGCATGCAAATCACGCTGCAGCCTATTGTGACAAACTCATTTTCATTGAAGCCAGCGACACATATTTCCTTGTCATTGCGGTCAGTGTTCTGCCAATTTTGCAGCGTTTTGGTTTAGAAGAGCTATTGGTCGTAGTTGGTCAATGACAAAACTTTATGTGGATTCCCATACATGTTCTCAGGCGTCTATGTTTTTATAAAACTCAGTCAGTACCCACTTACTATTGACTGAGAAGATTATTATATTCTTGAGAGGTTCGTAGTCGATAAGTATGACAGATTTAGTGACACTAATAGAATTGAAAAAGCAAGACTGGAATTATATATTCGAAAACAGAGATCATATGACTCCATTCCCCCAACAGAAGCAGCTCTTATTCAACATGTTAAGCGTGATGCATACCAAGCAGGTGCCTATGGGGCCAATCAACTATATGTCGAATGGAAAGCGAAAGGCTTTCTGACTAGGGTTGGAAAAAAAAAGATGATATGTGGCAAATCTTTTCGACAGCACTTCCGCCAATTACTCAGATATGCCAACACCTTACGAAATGTGGCTGCAAACTGAATGTCATGGCAGGAGCAAGTGCTATTGTTTGAGTCTCCCTTGTACAGCTTTGTGCAAAGGATAGAATATATTTATTGACAGAAACTTTTCCTCAATGTTTGATTGTCCGTACGATTTCTTTTACCTCTGTTTTTTTTCAATTTTGATGATTATGTTTGAGAGTGGTTCGGTATTTACTTATCCCGCCATTTAGTTATAGCGTTATGGTGGTGTTATGAATATGTTTCCGTGTATTTATTTTTTTTTTCTGATGTACTTTATTAGAGGAGTGTGCTTACATTATTTTACTTTGTTGTCTTAGTTATTTAGAAATCTAGTACATTGTGTATTTGGTTTTGCCAGTTGTTGTTATGAATTTTTCTTTGAGTTTGGTATTTTTGTTCTTGTCAATTTGAATAGTAAAAATAATATTTCTACCTAGAATGGCGGCCATCTAAAAAATGGTTGTCATTTAAAACTTCAAGTGGCTAACGGGATTTTCCGAAAATATTTAAGTACATTAATACTTCGCACATTTAGCCTCGCACTTGCTTTTATATGTTTTGTCATCAACTCCGCAAACAGGGCTGTATTTTTTTTTGGACAGGGACACACATCATCACAGGGACAGTTTTTATTGCATTTAACTTTTACTCCACTGAAACGAATTAGAATTTCCAATTTCCTTTAATCATATTAAGCATATCTGCAGTAGCCTCGTTGAACAAATAAAGGATGAAAGTCGATTAAGCATTGTGTTGATTTGATAAAGTTTGAGAAAACGCAAAGGTAAAAACTGGAAAAGTAATGAATTCTTAAACATGGATAATAGGCGACAATTGCAAAGAGATACACATAGCCATTATACAGCTAGACAGCCTTCTTATAAACACATTAATTCCTGATTATTTACGACCAATAATTTATTTCACGCATATTTGCTACAAATCGTATCATGTAGAAGAGAACGGCAACACTTTGTATCTTAAATCTTTTGAATTTATGCTGATTTATAGACAGAACTAAATCCTGTTGATTTGCATTTTCATTGAACGCATCAAAACATAAGCTATTACAACATTTACGATATAGTTGTGGGACATTTTCTATTGCATTTTACGTTTAATCCACTGAAAAAATAAGAATTTTTAATTTCCTTAAGTCACATAGCCTCGTTGAACAATAATTATGAACAACAAATAAGGATGAAAGTCGATTAAGCATTTAGTTTATTGGATAAAGTTAAACAACACACAACGATAAAAGTTGAAAAATAGTGATGTTTTATTCAAAATAATCAAAAGAGAACAATAGCAAAGAGATACACATAGCAATTGTACCGCAAAAGACAGATTCGGTAACAATATGACAATCGACTCTTTCAGTCATGCCATCAATTCCATTATCAAGTATGCAATTATGTTATTAAACAGTTCATATCTAGAAAGCCGTCTTCTGCACTAATTGATACCTGATGATTGACCTCAAATAAATTATTGTACGCATTTTTGCTACTAATCTGTTCATTCAGAAGAGAACGGAGACACTTTTTATCTTGAATTGCACCGATTTTATGTTCATCTATAGACAGAACTAGAACCTGTTGAATTTCATATTATTATACATTTGACCAGAACGTAAGTTATTATGTCATTTACAAAATATTTGTGTTCAAAAATATTTGCGAATACATACCGTGTACAAATAAGAAGTTTTGTAAAACCAAATTACGGACAAATAGGTCGCATACAATATATACAACTTTATGAGTAACACCACCAAATCAAAGTACGTCACATCAGGTTGCATACGAAAAGGGGTCGAAAAAAATATTCCCTTGAATTTGACAGTTGTAGGAATTAATCCTACCTTTCATTGCAGGAAAAAATTTCTGGGTCACAAACATATATCTTGGGTGTTTCAAAGCACAATTTTGTTTTTTGCTTTTTTGTTTTTTGGTGTTTCTGTAGAATATTTTGGAAACTTGAGGGTACGTGGTTACTAAAGCTTGTACACAGGAAGGAAAGAGGTGAAAATTTGATTGGTTAACTTCCAGTGATGGTTATTTTCTTATATGCAATGACATGTTATGTGAAATTTTGTCTATAGTACTGGACTGGATAAAACTTTACTCATGCCAAGTATTTCTTTATTTAAAACAAAGATAACTTCTGCACAATTTTTAAAAATTGCAAATTTAACAAAGACTAATAGGGGAAAATCAATGGTGGTATTACACCTTTATAATATAAAAAAGAAGATGTGGTATGATTGCCAATGAGACAACTCTCCACAAGACACCAAATGACACAGAAATTAACAACTTTAGGTCACCGTACGGCCTTCAACAATGAGCAAAGCCCACACCGCACAGTCAGCTATAAAAGGCCCCGAAATGACAATATAAAACAATTCAAACGAGAAAACTAATGGCCTAATTTATGTACAAAAAATGAACAAAAAACAAATATGTAACACATAAACAAACGACAACCACTGAATTACAGGCTCCTGACTTGGGACAGGCACATACATACAGAATGGGGTTAAACATGTTAGCGGGATTACAACCCTCCCCCTAACCTGGGACAGTGGTGTAACAGTACAACATAAGAACGAACTATAAAAATCAGTTGAAAGAAGCTTAACTCATCAGATGGATAAAAATACAATACTACAAATACAAGTGGACGTAGCAGGGTACTTGTACATCCAAACAACAAAAAGACACTAAGTACAGATCTGAGAGTACTTGCAGTTACTGACAGCTAGTTCAAAGCTACTAACAACTAATAACAAAAATCATGCATCTAAGACTAAGTTATCAATCCGTACACATCCAACACCCAATGGATTTAGTGTAAAGACGTTATAAACAGTCATAGAAAAACATGACCTTGACGTTACTTTACCCAGATCTTAATCTTATATTGTTTGTTTATTTTAATGAGGAAAGTTGTTATACTATGCCTTTAATCAATGTCAACTGAAGGAGACCGTCAAGACCCATAACCCGGAAAAAATGAGGTATGTGAGTTTACTTCCTTTGGAAAAGATTTTATTGGTATTGATCAAAATTCCTATATCTCAGACTGAAAGACTGACATTTTGTTTACACTATTTTTAGATAAATTTGCTGATTTCATTCGAACAACCTTCTTACTCTTCTGTCTCATAGCGAAATGACCGAATAAATCTCACTCTCAAAAAGTCGAATATAAGAGAAAATTAATAGTTACAGCGCATTTAGCGTAAAACTCATTACTATATGTGTTGGCATTTTCTCCGCTAGCAGCACTGTATATTTTTGGACAAAGATACAAATTACAGGGCTACTAACCAGTGAATCTTTCTTTTACACTATTAAAAAAATTCAATTCCTTTCAGTAATATTAAGCATATCATATCTTTGTTTTCCACTTTGAACAATAACTATGAAAAGAATTTATGCAATGAAAGTCAATTTAGCATTGTGTTAAATGAATGAATTTGAGCAAAGACTGAAAAGGTTTACAACGAATCGTATATGTTAATTTCTTTTGGAGAAAAAATAAGCATGTCTTAGGATAAAAGGCTGTACTTTGTTTACACCATTTTTTCAAAATATGTTGTTGATACTGTGAACGTAAATGATTAATCCTCTCTTCAGAGCAAGTAAAATATTAAAGTACATTAATACTTACGCGCATTTAGCTTCGCACTGGTTAACATATGTTTTGTTATCAACTCCGCAAACAGGACTGGTTGTTTTTGGACAGTCACACAAATCATTACAGGGACATTTACCTTTGCATTTAACCTTTACATCACTGAAATTAGAATTTCCAATTTCCTTTTGTCATATTGAGCATACCTGCAATAACTTCGTTAAACCATAATTATGTAAAACAAAAAAAAAAGGATCAAAGTCGATTAAGCATTGTGTTGATTTGATAAAGTTTAACAAAACTCAAAACTCAAAGGTAAAAACTGGAAAAGTGACGTAATATTAAACATGATTGATGGGAGACAATTGCTAAGTGATACATATAGCCAATTTACTACAAAAGACAGATACTGTGACAATAAGACAATAAACTTTTTCAGTCATGCCATATAATCCATTACCAAGTATGTAATTATATTGTTAAACAATTCTTATCTAGACAACCTTCTTATAAAAATATTAGTTTCTGGTTATTTCTAAAGATAACTTATTGCACGCATGTTTGCTACTAATCGTACCATGTAAAAGAGAACGGGGACACTTTGTATCTTAAATCTTCTGAATTTATGCTGATTTATAGACAGAACTAGAACCTGTTGAATTGCATTTTCATTCAACGCATCAGAGCATTAGTTATCACAACATTTACGATATAGTTGTGATAAAAATTATTTGCGAAAAATAAGTATAAAAAAAATATCGCACTCCAAGGCAAAAAAAAGGCAGTCCGTAAAAACTGACAACATCAAACGCTTTCAATCAATGAAACAAGTGAAAAACAATTTCCATATTCCTGACTTGTTACATGTGTTTTCCGAATACATACCGTGTATTATTAAGAACTTTTGTAAAACCAAATTTTTGTCGTATCAGTCTCAAAAAAATCTATCCAACTTTATGATATAAAATTAATAAGATGTGGTATGATTGCCAATGAGACAAATCCCCAATAGAGACAAAATGATATATGAACGAAAAACAAATATGATATACATCAGCAAACGACAACCAATGAATTACAGGCTCCTGACTTGAAACAGGCACATACAGAAAATGGCGGGGTTAAACATGGTTGCGGGCGCCCAACCCTTCCCTTACCTGGGACAGTAGTGTAAACAGCACGTTATTCTATTCAGATCTTGATTGTGAACTATGAAATTGTTTATTCATTTTAATGAGTAAAGTTGTTATACTAAGCCATTAATCAATGTCCACTGAAGGAGATCGGCATGACCCATGACTCGAAAAAAGAATACAAACGAGGTATCTATACTATTAAATGAGAAGACCTCATTTTGTGTGTTGCTTCTCTCCTTCCACAATAAATCAATCATCATGCCTCTGTGTCCTATAGGTACCATACATAGTCGCATTTGTCATCCTCGCTTATGATTATTCCGTTTGGGATATTTTGGAAGGAAAACGAAAATAAAGACGTCCTGATATTGTTTCCGTCATCGTACGGACTTTTAAGTCATAGACAAGACTTCCGTTTAGGACTGTTTAAAGTTTCACAGAATTTTGGTAAATTTACAAACAACCCTTAATTCCTAACTTGATTACATACAACGTTTTTGGGTACCTGAGCTACAGGAACTGGTATCAAACATTCCTTCGGTCCCTGAAAGGAAGCGATAAAAATCAGATTTCTTGGGACCCCTGGAACCGGTATACAATCATGTTTTATTTAAGAAATTTAGGAAATAATTCATGCAAGCCATAGATTTGTTGAAAATTTTCACATGGCATGGGTCGTTATATTTGAATTTTATCCCGAGCGTAAGCAAGATAAGATAAGATCTTAAGATACGTTTGATACTTTTCCTGAAATTCTCCAATCATACAATCTTTTACAAAACTTCATCTTATAACAGTTTACATACTTTCAACCAAGCTCTAAATGCCCGCGATTTCACGGGTGTGTTCTAGTATAATATTAAAATAAGAAGATGCGGTATGACTGCAATGGGACAACTCTCCACAAGAGACCACATCACACAGAAATTAACAAATATAGGTCACCGTACAGCCTTCAACAATGAGTAAAACCCACACCGCATATTCAGCTATAAAAGGCTCCGAAATAACAAATGTAAAGCAATTCAAACGAGAATCTTACTTTTACACCATTCAAATGAATGCAATTTTCAACAGTAATGTTAAGCATGCGATATCTCTGTTGTACTATTTAAGCAACAATTTTGAAAAGCAAATATCCAATGAAAGTCAATTTAACTTTGTTAGAATTGGATGAATTTAAGCAGACATGAAAAGGTAAATAACAAATTCTATATGATATTTTTTTAGAAAGACGTCAGTGTTTCTACGGATAAAAGTTTGACACTTTGCGAACAGAATTATTTAAGATAAATTTGTTGATAATAAAAGATATTCAAACACCCTAATACTTCGAGATCTTTCTTACTTTGAAAGCAAATAATCAATCTTCCCTTCAGAGCAAGTCAAATATTAAAGTACATTAATACTTACAAGCATACACTTTCGCACTCATTATCAAAGGTATTGCCATCAACTCCGCAAACAGGACTGACATCTTTTGGACAAGAACATGTAGAAGCTGTAAATTATTATACTTTTTTAACTCACTATGCATATTACAAGACAAATTTTACTAATGAATATATAAATCATACAAATACCAGAGCCGATGCGAATAGACGACTGTAGGCAGGGATCAATGACAACTTTCAAACTTATTTACTTTTTTACGACATTTTACGAAAAACTTACAGAAAGTGTACTCCTAAATAAGACTTGCGTTTTGTCGTGAAATTAGAAAAACACTTTTTTATGTACTTTAAACAAAATAAAGGTTGAAAATGAGTTCTTCTTTTCCTCGTACATGTATTTGATTCGTTTTTATGTCTGCTGTTCTCATTTGGGATACAAATAAACAAATCACATTACAACATTTTTTTTTTAATTCTAGAAAGTTTTGTACTTGTTTCAGTGTCCTTGGTTGTGGTTTTCTCTTCATGTACGCTCGACACTTAAAGTCTTTGAAACCCAAACACGATGTGTGTGACCATCAAGACTCAATGAGCTTCAACAGTGACACTCAAACTATTTGTGTTCATGGTTAACTTATGGAAGCTGTCACTTAGTTTTAATAAATTTCAACTATTAATCCACAAATAATTTTAAGATGTATCATTTTTCTACCTCAAGAAAAGATTACCTTAGCTGTATTTGGCAAAACTTTTAGGAATTTTTGGTCCTCAATGCTCTTCAACTTCGTACTTTATATAGCCTTTTAACTTTTTTTTTTTATTCGAGCGTCACTGATGAGTCTTTTGTAGACGAAACACGCGTCTGGCGCAAATACAAAATTTCAATCCTGGTATCTATGATGAGTTTATTTACATAATGTCAATACACTACAAATGCCCATTATGCAGATGGTTAGACAAGGTCCTACAGTCCATCAGTAGCGGCACAATGAAATCGGTACTGTACCTGTTAACTACTGTTAATGAACATGTGACGCTGATGTATGACTTTCTATTCCAGATGATACCATCCGCCCAGTCCCTATTACCTCAGTATCGACGTGATTTAAATGTTACATTTTGGCTAAATATCTAATCTATGAATTATGAAATCAAACTTACACCGACCATCATAAATACTGTACCCCCGTTTGTTCTCATTTGCATTTGATTACACGAAATTATTCCTCTAACGCAGTATTTTCTCCTTATAAAAAAAGTAAAATAACAAAAATACCGATCCCCAAGGGAAATTCAAAAGGAAAAGCCCTTTATGAAATGGCAAAATCAAAAGCTCAAACACATCAAACGAATGGAAAACAACTGTCATATTCCTAATTCAAACTAATATTCCTGTTATTTAAAATAACAACCTATACATTGATTTTATTTTGTTTGAACATATGTTGCAAAAAAATAATATAATCAAATAATTTAGTTAGATAAATTGTAAACAAATGGCATTCAGTGTTGCAGAGAAATTGCTTCTATTTGCCGTATGGGATTAACAGATGTCCTAAGTGCCATCAAGCTCGATAGATTATATAAGTCAAATTACAGGTATTCGGAACTTCTGTATCATGTGAATAAGTTCCGAAATGAAAAACAACTTTTAAGGTGATTTGGTATCATATTATGAACATTAAATGGCATTGAAGTAATTAAAAAAAAAACAAGAAAGTTTAAGTTCAATATCTTAAATTTAGATCCTTACAGGATTCGAAAACATGGTTCATAAATATAAACAGCAAAACCAACATTCGTCTCATTATAATCTTAATCACAACTGAAGAAAAGATCTGAAAAATAAAAAAAAACGCAAACATTGCTGAATTTACCTGACTTAAAACTAGGAAAGTGTTAGTCGGTTGGAAGGTTTATTATAATAATTTGTTCAATATTGTTATTGTATTTATGAATAATAGTTTATTTATGTAAGTAGCTCTCAATTTTATATAATATAGAAGTGAATAAACATGTTCTTTTATGATCAAATTGAAATTTGAAATTTTTTGTGAAGTCATGAAAATATATTATTATCTTCTTCGAAATCGGAAATGGTCAATTTGAAAAGATAATGTTGTTTTAAAAAAAAATTCTCAAGGAAATCATTTATGTGGGAATTTTATAGTCATGAAATATAATAATTATACTGTGCGGGTGTTTTTTGTTTTTTTTTTTTGTTTTTTTTTTTTGGGGTTTTTTTCCTATTTCTTCCTTTATATTTTCACGATTTTAATCCGAGTATCAGATGATTCAATCAAAGGGGCCTCGGTGGCCGAATGGTCTAACAACTGTATCACTAGTCTTTCAACACTGAAGCTGTGAGTTCAAATCCCGCATGTGACAGGTGTGCTCGACTCCAATCTTAATTGACTAGGATTGTCAGTTTTCTTACCGAAGGTCGGTGGTTCTCTTCAGGGCACTCATGTTTCTTCCACCAATAAAAACTGACCGCCATGAAATTACACAACAGTGCTGAAAGTTACGTTAGACACCAATCAATCAATTATGTTTCCTTTTATATTACCAAGTCATATCTTACCTTGGATTCTAACAGTTAAATATTTTATCCAAATATGCCAGTTATTCTATATTGAATTTATCAAAAATGATTTCAACATTATTGCTTCTTATTTAAGTACGATAAGAATTATGCAGCATTGAACATTGTCCGTTAACATATGCTGTCAAGTCATACAGCTTCGTAATTTGACAATCTAGAATATTATTTGTAATCCTTTTTTACCAGCAAAATATTGAAAAATATAATCCAAATAAAACAAATTACATAGTATAAATTGTGAAACAGAAGAAATGCACATGTAATCATATTCAGATTAACATTCCATTGACTTAATGTATTTCTACTTCATAATGCAAGTCAGTATGTTTTCTTCAATTTTAATTGAATAAATACGGAAGTCTATTTGGGAAAAGTATTTATTTTTTGTGTCAATTTTATTTGTAGAGTTTTAACTATAATCTGGGAAATTTGATACAAACGGCATTTTGTCAACTCTAAAATGAGTACCTAAGAACTAATAAGTCAATAGAGGTACATATCATATATATATATAAGCATAATATGAATTTCAATTGTAAAATCGTAGATAATGTCAATCTGTTTTATATTTGCAATCGTCTATTTCATGTCGGGTCCTGAGATCACAGTTTGTTTAACCATGTCATATCAGCCATCTTGTAGTAATGATGGACATCATAGTATAAGTACTTTAAGGTGAGTCATCTATGAGTAACATTTAGCCAATTTGTAAAATTTATTCCATAACGGTTATGTTTGCATGTTGTCGGTAATATTTCCATGTGTCTCTCAGAAGTAGTCCACTTGCAATTCAGATTGCTAAGAAAAATAAAGAGTTAGGTAATTCCTCAATGACCTTCACAGTGTCACTTGAGTAGTTGATAACAGAGAGGCTAAAGATATCAAAGGGACATTCAAAGTAGAAAAAAACTGACAACGTCATGGCAAAAAGAGAAAAAAAACAAAAGACAAACAACAGTGTACAAAACATAACATAGGTAACTATTAATTGAGCAACACCACCCCACCAAAAACTGGGGATGATATCTCGTGCTTCGGAAGAATAAGCAGATCAGGCTCCACATGTGGCAGCCGTTGTGTTGCTCATTTTAGTACAAACCCGATGATGAGTCCAATTCAGTAGATCACATTCTCTGAAAAGGAGGACGGGATTGTGGTTCCGACAATTGGAACATATCTCCACCTATCATTATAAAGTGTCCTTTAAGTACTACTTGTATCCTACAAGAATGTCATATTCTTTATAAAATAAACATATTATTGGAATGCATGAGCATAGGGACAAAACTTGTGCAAACAAAACAACTTGTTTTAGTCATACCGTTTATTTTCCATAAAAAGGACTTTGGATTATAAGTATATATATATATATATATATATATATATATATATGTATACAACTCGTCTAAACATCAGCCCAACAATGTTAGATCTGTAAATTTACTTTCGCAAATTGTTTGTTCTTCCCTCGCCGGGATTCGAACTCATGCTACTGAGATATCGTGACACCAAATCGGCTGCACTGTATCCGACGTGCTAGACCACACGACCACGTAGGCTTCACAATAATAAAGCTTTCGGTGGCCGTGTGTTACCATTCCTCGTCAGTTTTAATCTAGCGTCGTAATACAGTACATGATATATAAGGCATGAAGATGGAATTGTTACAGATCAGCTGAAATATATATTGTAAAGGATCCTACAAAGTAATGCAAGATACAGTCACAGAAATAATTATATTTATAAGTACGTCTGAAACAGTGACAACTCTACAACAGATTTATCCATCGGATCACCAGCAGTGATGGTGATACATGGCTGTGTACATTCTGTATATACAACTCGTCTAAACATCACCCCAACAATGTTAGATCTACAAATTAATGCAAGATACAGTCACAGAAATAATTATATTTATAAGTACGTCTGAACCAGTGACAAGTGACAATTCTAGAACAGATTTATCCATCGGATAACCAGCAGTGATGGTGATACATGGCTGTGTACATTCTGTATATACAACTCGTCTAAACATCAGCCCAACAATGTTAGATCTGTAAATTTGCTTTCGCAAATTTTTTTTTCTTCCCTCGCCGGAATTCGAACTCATGCTACTGAGATATCGTGACACCAAATCGCCTTCACGGTATGCGACGCGCTAGACCACACGACCACCTAGGCTTCACAATAATAAAGCTTTCGGTGGCCGGGTGTTACCTTTCCTAGTCAGCTTTAATCTAGCGTCGTAATACAATACATGATATATAAGGCATGAAGATGGAATTGTTACAGATCAGCTGAAATATCTATTGCAAAGGATTTTACAAATTAATGCAAGATACAGTCACATATATATAAACAAGTCAAAATTGAAAACAACGTTCAAAACTATGATTGCGTTGGATAAAAACCGCAATTTTTATACGTGTGCATGCAAAACAAATTTCTTGGTAAAGGGGTCTAAATACAGCACAAACAACATTTTCCAAAAGACCAAAAAAGTGACAAAGTATATTTTCACAAAACGCATTTGACTAGCAGGTCGAACAACGGATGTTCTTAAACCCTGCTGACTGCCATTGGCGATTGCCAAATAAAATGATCACCAGATATAACAAAATAGATCTTAACTATTAATTCAATATCAAACAGAAAACAATAAACTGGCGGAAAAGATGGTATACCGCAAACAAAAGGTGCAAAAATCAGTACACCATATCTGGATTTCGACAATTAATGACTCTTCAGTGATGTTAGGAATCGAAACGGTATTTGGAAGGCCATATAATTTACCTCAATTTAGGATAGACTCTTTTGAAAGAGTCAAAATAGGATGAAAGGATCATGTAAACCCGGGGTCAAGTATAATACAAGCCCAAACGAAAAAATATAAACAAGTCTAAATTGAAAACAACGTTCAAACCTATGATTGCGTTGGATAAAAACCGCAATTTTTATACGTGTGCATATATATATATATATATATATATATATATATTGACTGTTGTCTAAATGGCAAGAAAACCATATCTCCTTATTTTCATATAACTGTAATGTAGATGTGAATAAAAAGAGGGACGAAAGATACCAGAGGGACAGTCAAACTCATAGATCGAAAACAAACGTCATGGCCAAAAATAAAAAGACAAACAGACAAATAATAGTACAGATTACACAACATAGAAAACTAAAGACTAAGCAACACGAACCCCACCAAAAACTGGGGGTGATCTCAGGTGCTCCGGAAGGGTAAGCAGATCCTGCTCCACATGTGGCACCCGTCGTGTTGCTTATGTTATTACAAATCCGGTAAATAGTCTAATTCGGTAAGTCACATTCGTGAAAAGGGAAGGGTATTGTAGTTACGACATAAGGAACATATCCGATATCATCTGTGAAACGGTTATTCCATAATGGTCAACCAACTCGTGAAGGCGTCCGTAAAATAAAAGATGATGTTGAGTATAAGTCAATTACACAAACAAACCAACAAAATATAACAAAGACATCTAGATCGACGATCTTCTACATAAGATATGTGCATGTATAGTATGTCATGTTCTTAATAGTTACTTACAGAGGTTAAATAATAAATTGAAAATCGAATTTTAAAGATTTACCAAATGTTTCCTAAAAAACCATTAAAATGTGATAATAGACATCTACTTGCTAAAAACTTGACATCGGATATCATATGCACTTTTGGCAGGGTCTAAATAATTTGTTTATCAATCTCAACACTCCCTCTTATTTAGATGTCTTGTTTTTTTACATCGGTGTTAAATTGCTGTTTCGTTAATTTATAACCTTCATTTCAGTTTAGTCATATTAACACAGGATACATTTTTGCACTTTTTTGCTTTGTATATTCTATCAAAATCTTCTTGCTTCCGTCTCCTGTAATCCGAGGACAGCTAATTACACTTGTGGTATGGTATTTGATAATCTTTATTGAAATTCTTAAGAGTAAAAAAAAACAAAACATCATGTAAACAGCTGTTCTAAAAATGTTTTATTTAGTTTTTTCGTGTATTAAAAGAAAATCCATAGATTGATCAAAACATATGCATATTTTTAATATTGTCGCTGCACTTTAAAGATCACAATTTAGTAACAATTACGTATAAAAAATCAAAGATTTGACTACGCATGAAAGATAACTTGTTGTTATCAAATAGTTATAAAATTTGCTTTTTAAATATAAGATATTTGCTCTTGGATAAAAAGATCGGCTATAGTTATTACTATGTCATTTGGTCTCTGGCGAAGAATTGTCTAACTGGCAATTATTCCACAAAAAGTCGTGTTCTTATTTCTATATTTGAAGCTGTTTATTTAGCTGAGTATAGTACAAAAATGTAAACAATGTCTTCCATTTTAACTGTAATATTTGCTGCAGTGCTTTGTATAATTTGTTCCCTTGACACAGTGAGACGTTCGTTTGGTTGAGCATAGTGTATAAATTCGATGTCAAGTTCGGTCAAATTGTGAACATTTAATCCAATGCCTCGTGTATACTCTTCTCTACATATTAGAGAACCCTTGCAACAACTGTTTTGAGGGGTCCGTAGATGGTATTTTGCAAGGCTTAATTTCAATTCCTAGTGGCATTCGAAATTTTCCAACCTCTATCCCGATAATTACCCTTACATGACCTATTTATTGTACTTATTGCTAATTTTGTTTTCATTCTGAACATATATCATATATTTCCACAGGACGTTAAGCAAACAACAATCATTCAATCGATCAATCAATATAATCAAGAAGCTGGAAAGATTTAGCGATCGAAACAGTCACTATGGAATTATATGGGGTAATATTATTCTGTAGAAATAACGGAATATAAATTTTAACAAATAATAAAACAATAAATATATTAGATGTTTATTTTCAATCGAACAAGAATTAAGGATTAAAAATATTTAACTGTATTCAAAGACTTATGTCTGTAAAATCCTTCATTGGGGATGATTTTTGTCTAAAGATTGAACTGTTATTCAAATCTCAAATTTCAAAATTTTTTAAAATCCGATAGTTATGGTGTATTGAATTCATAATAAACAGATATGCCCTTCTTGTTCATATTAAAAATGATGCA